CCTTTTTAAACGTTGAACTTAAAGAGCAAACCTGAATTTACATTTTATAATCGAATTTTATTAATTTAATTTATTACAATCGATATTCATATTTACTATTTATGGTGTTATTAGTGAATAAAATTAATTATTATTTATTAAAATTAATTTTATTCAATGGCCCTGAGCTGAGAGAGCACAACTCACCCTTTTGGTTCCCACCCACCAACGTCTTATTCCGGATCCCTTTGCAAACATCCAGGATTGTTGCTCCAACATAAGCAATCTCGGGACCAAATCGGAAACTCTGCGTGGAAAAATCCAGGAAAAGGCAGGAAAAGACGAGGAATTTGTTAGAACCCATAAAAGTATTGCTATGTCTGGAATTATACAATTCCCACCCACCTTCTGGACATCTTTTCACTTGGAAAAAGCACCAAAATCTCCTCAAACTATTCCCAGAAATCCTGGTCATTCCTAAACCCAAATGACACCATTCCCATCAAACCATTCCTTGAAATCCTGGTCAATTCTTAAATCCAAATTATACAATTCCCACCAAGCTATTCCTAAAAAAATCTGGTCATTCCTAAACCTAACTGATACAATTCCCACCAACCTTCTGGACATCTTTTCTCCTGGAAAAACACACAAATCCTCCCAAACTATTCCTAGAAATCCTGGTCATTCCTAAACCCAACTGATAAAATTCCCACCAACCTTCTGGAAAAGTCTTCTACTGGAAAAACACCCAAAACCCTGCAAACTATTCCTAGAAATCCTGGTCATTCCTAAACCCAAATTATACAATTCCCATCAAACCATTCCTTGAAATCCTGGTCAATTCTTAATCCCAAATGATACAATTCCCATCAAACCATTCCTTGAATTCCTGGTCATTCCTAAACCCAACTGATACAATTCCCACCAACCTTCTGGACAACTTTTCCCTTGGAAAAACACCCAAATACCTCCCGACTATTCCTAGAAATCCTGGTCATTCCTAAACCTACATAGTTTGGGGGGATTTGGGTGTTTTTCCAGGAGAAAAGTTGTCCAGGAGGTTGGTGGGAATTGTGTCAGTTAGGAATGACCAGATTTTCTAGGAATAGCTTGGTGGGAATTGTTTGGGAATGACCAGGATTTCTAGGAATACTTCTGAGTCATTTTGGTGCTTTCTCCAAGAGAAAAGTTGTCCAAGAGGTCGGTGGGAATTGGGTTCCAGAACAACCAGGATTTCTAGGAATAATTTGATGGGAATTATATAATTTGGGTTCCAGAACAACCAGGGTTTCAGGGAATAGCTTGGTGGGAATGGTTTGGGAATGACCAGGATTTCTAGGAGCAGTTTGGTGGGAATGGTTTGGGAACGACCAGGATTTCTAGGAACAGTTTGGTGGGAACTGTATGGGAACAACCAGGATTTCTGGGAACAGTTTGGCAGGAACTGTTTGGGAATGACCAGGATTTCCAGGAACAGTTTGGTGGGAGTGGTTTAGGAACCAACCAGGACTTCCAGGAAGAGTTTGGTGGGAACTGTTTGAGAACAACCAGGATTTCTAGGAACAGTTTGATGGGAATGGTTTGGGAACGACCAGGATTTCCAGGAACAGTTTGGCAGGAACTGTTTGGGAACGACCAGGATTTCTAGGAACAGTTTGATGGGAATTCTTTGGGAACAACCAGGATTTCTAGGAGCAGTTTGGCAGGAACTGTTTGGGAACAATCAGGATTTCTAGGAACAGTTTGGTGGGAATGGTTTGGGAACGACCAGGATTTCCAGGAAGTTTGGCAGGAACTGTTTGGGAACAACCAGGATTTCCAGGAACAGTTTGGCAGGAGTGGTTTGGGAATGACCACGATTTCTAGGAGCAGTTTGGCGGGAACTGTTTGGGAACGACCAGGAATTCCAGGAACAGTTTGGCAGGAGTGGTTTGGGAAGGACCAGGATTTCAAGGAACAGTTTGGTGGGAACTGCTTGGGAACGACCAGGATTTCTCGGAACAGTTTGGCGGGAACTGTTTGGGAACGACCAGGATTTCCACGAACAGTTTGGTGGGAACTGCTTGGGAACGACCAGGATTTCCAGGAACAGTTTGGCGGGAACTGCTTGGGAACGACCAGGATTTCCAGGAACAGTTTGTCGGTACCACTTGGCACCGCGGAGCGTTTGCCGTTGGACGCCGCCCGCGGGAGGCCGCGGGGCCTGGATTTCCCCTGGATTTCCCCTGGATTTGGGATGCCCCCCTGTTAGCCCAGCCCCTACCTGGGTCAGGTAGTAGACGTGGGTGTGGGGCACGGCCTGCAGGGTGTTGACGGCGCCGCGGAAGGTGTAGATCTGCTGGTGAGGGTCTCCCACCAGGATGATCCCGCACGGCTGGGACAGCACCACGTCCACGATGGCTGCGGGAAAACACCGGGAATGCTCACGGAGCAGCCACGGAGCAGCCCCGTCACCGAGCCAGCCCAAGCAAGCCAGGGCTTGGTCCTAACCTCACAGCCGGGTTTAAGTTGAACCGTGCTGCTCCTTGGGAATGCTTCCCTGTGGGAATGCCGGAGCTCCGCTCACCTGGAGTGCAATCCTGGGCCTCATCCACGAAAACGGCGTCGTATCCCGACAGCTTGGGCTTGCTGAGCTGCCAGAGCTTCAGGTATCCTGAGGGGAAAACACAGGGATGGCAGGGAAAAGGGAATTTTCCTCGGCGGAAACCCCCGCGGATCCTCGAAATAAAGCACTTTTTTCCTTGGGTTTTTTTCATGTTTCTGGCCCTTAAAATAAATCCTTTTCCCCCTTTTTTTTAAATTTTATTTATTTATTTATTTATTTTTCATGTTTCTGGTCCTTAAAATAATCTCTGTTTCCTTTGTTTTTTTTTTTTTTTCCTGTGGGTTTTTTTTTTTTATTTTTTCTTTTTTTTCATGTTTCTGGCCCTTAAAATAAATCCTTTTCCCCCTTTTTTTTAAATTTTATTTATTTATTTATTTATTTTTCATGTTTCTGGTCCTTAAA